CACAATGAATAATAGCAAGTAATTCTTTTTTAACAGTAGAGTAATTCTTTTGGGTAGGATTCCAAGCTTTAGAAGTAAAGCGTATTAATTGTTCTTTAGAATCGATGGATTGTTTTAATATTCCTCCGAGTCCTAATTCGGAAGCATCGCATTCTATAATCTTAAAGGCTGTTGGATCAGATAAATTTAAGCATGGAAGTTCTTTAGCTTTAAGTTTAAGTTTTTGCACAGCTAAAGTATGAATATTAGTCCAAGGTGGAGGATTCTTTTTTAAACGATCATATAAAGGTTTTGCATCTAAAGCCAGGTTTTGGTAAAAATCACTGATATAATTGAGACATCCTAAAAATCGTTGTAATTCAGTTTTATCTAAGATTTTATCAGGAAATTTATCAGCAAAGAGTATTGATCGATCTATTGGAATGATTGTTCCTTGATTAATATTATGTCCGAGAAATCTTATTTTTGTTTGGAACAAATTTAGTTTTTTGGCAGAGACAACTAATCCAGCTGTTTTTATCGTGTGAATAAAAGTATGAAGATGTTTAAAACGTTGTTCTATTGATTCTGAAAAGACTAAAACATCATCGATATAAACAATCATAAATTTATAAAAAGGATTAAAGATATCATTCATTATTTTTTGAAATTCAGATGGAGCATTTTTAAGCCCAAAAGGCATGACGTTCCACTCATATTGTCCGAAAGGGACATTGAAGGCTGTTTTGTATTTATCTTCTTCTTTTATCTGGATTTGCCAAAAACCAGATTTTAAATCGAATTTGGAGAAGATTACAGCATGTAATAATCTATCAAGTAAATCTTTTTTATTTGGAATGGGATATCGAATCCATTTTAAAACTTTATTAAGAGGTTTATAATTGATGACTAACCGTGGAACTCCTCGTTCCTGCTCAGCATTTTTATTTACATAAAAAGCAGAACAACTCCAAGGAGATGAACTAGGACGTATTAATTTCTTTTGGATTAGGTCATTTATTTCTATTTGACATGTTTGTAATAATTCGGTATTCATCTGAATTGGTCTAGCTTTTGTTGGTATTTTTGTTTCACTAAAACTGGGTTCATATGGTAAACCTACAATATGTTGTTTTCTATGCCAAAAAGCATTTGGTAATTCATTGCATATTTCCTTTTCAATAAAGCTTTTGAGATGTTGTATTTTTTGTATTATCTCAGGA